GAGAACATAACTTTGGACCACTCAGCAGCAGTCCCAGGCGAGATGCTTCTGACGCAGTCTCTTGTTCAAAAGTGGTTTGACCTGGGGAATGCGGCACCTGCAGCCCATTTCCTGCACACGCCTGTGCACGGTGGCTCTGGATGTTTCTACTCCAGACTCAGTCCACTGCTTCCGCAGGTCCCCCAAGGTCTGGAATCGGCCCTTCTCCACAATCCTCCTCAGGGTCCGGTCACCTCTTCTCGTTGTGCAGCGTTTTCTGCCACACTTTTCCCTTCCCACAGACTTCCCACTGAGGTGCCTTGATACAGCACTCTGGGAACAGCCCATTCGTTCAGCAATTTCTTTCTGTGTCTTACCCTCTTGCTTGAGAGTGTCAATGATGGCCTTCTGGACAGCAGTCAGGTCAGCAGTCTTACCCATGATTGTGGTTTTGAGTAATGAACAAGGCTGGGAGTTTTTAAAAGCCTCAGGAATCTTTTGCAGGTGTTTAGAGTTACGTCGTTGATTCAGATGGTTAGGTTAATAGTTGTTTAGAGAACCTTTTTATGATATGCTAATTTTTTGGGACAGGCATTTTGGGTTTTCATGAGCTGTATGCCATAATCATCAGGATTAAAACAATTAAAGACCTGAAATATTTCAGTTGGTGTGCAATGAATCTGAAATATATGAAAGTTTCATTTTTATCATTACATTATAGAAAATAACGACCTTTATCACAATATGCTAATTTTGTGAGAAGGACCTGTATATATGTATGTGTATATATATGTGTGTGTGTGTGTATATACATATATATATATATATGTATATACATATATGTATGTATATAAATTAAATCTCTGATGAAACATTCCACAAAAACATCTATATTTAAATTTTTATAGGTTTTCATCATAATTTGATGTATTTGCACTCGTGTCTACTTTTATTGTTCATTTTAGATGTTGTTTTCTTTCTTGTTCCCATATATACATTTTATTTTTAGCTTTGCTTTAAAGTTCTTCTTTTGTGATTTGTACATTTGTGGGTTAAAATAAAGTTGAACTAAAGGCCTTATCTCTTCTTTAAACATGTTTGAGGGAAATATTCCTGAGAGATCCAATAATTTTGTGTCTTTTTATGATTTTCAGCTGAGTTAACAGTCAAAGTGAAAACAGGATTTCATGATAAAGCCTGCACCGTTTATTATTATTTTTTTTTTAATCTTCAGCGCTAAAAAAAAATACTAGCTCTGCTGGTCTCACATAATCCGAATGGTGGAAGCGATTTTTAAAAACATTTTATGTGTAAAACCAAACTTTTTTTAAATGGCTTCAGCAATTTTTAAAAACATTTTTTGTATAAAAACAAAATATTAATTAATTAAAAAATCGCTTCCACCATCTGTCCCAGACTGTCCAGTCTGCCTGACTGCTGGGCGGGATCGGGATTCAGCCTTCATGATTACACGCGGCCGGGGTCCGGCAACGGCCTTCTGTGAGTCACCAGCTTTGCAGTGACCTGCGGAGCTCTGAGCACACAAGGCTGGTATCCGGAACCCGAGTCTTCGAGTCGGCACAACGAAGGATCTTCCGCGGTGACAAGCGGAACTCTGAGCCGGGGAGATGATGCCTGACCCAGCCTGGCGCTTGGAGGCTCCGGGGGTAGGACCAAGGTAGACCAGCAGAGCTCCATCCAGCTTGCTCTGAATTATGTTGTCGGCCACCAAGCACAAAAAATGCCAGCACGTCAGCATTAGATCAAGATATTATCATTATTGTTTTTAAAATCTTTAAAATAAGTCCAGCCGCTGCTCCAGTCCGAGAAATTGCAAATGGCGGATCATTGTTTTGAAAAGTTTCTGAAGGATCCAGTGACTCCGCCCCCAACTCCGCCCCCGACCAATCAGTGATCGACAGTGTTCTGATGTCACATTTTAGTACCTCTTCGTTCGGGTTAGAACTACAGAGCCAAGGGTCCTGAAAATAGTAACGGGTGCTAAGTGTCAGAACTAATGGAAAAACCTCAGAACCGGGCCAAGTCGGGTCCAGTCGGCTCCTACCGATACTAATGGAAAAAGGGCATTATAAATGGCACCCTCTCAGAGTGGATCAACCAGTCTCTGCTGACAACCAAAACCAGCTGCTCACATGATCAAGAAGGACCATCAGCCTAACGATGGATCATTAGCACCCTGATGGCTGTTTCCTATACTCAGCCCCCTGTGAATAGTAAACAGCCATCAGGTGCTAATGATCCATCGTTAGGCTGATGGTCCTTCTTGATCATGTGAGCAGCTGGTTTTGGTTGTCAACAGAGACTGGTTGATCCACTCTGAGAGGGTGCCATTTATAAGACTGAGCTGAATACAGCACCTCAGACTGAGGAAGTCTTTCAGATGAAATACGAAACGTTTCTACAATTTTTTTTTTGAATGTCCAGAGGACCAGATTTAACTTTATTAGAGTCCAGTCTAGATGTGACAAATGCATGAACCAGTTTTTCTGCATCATTTTTAGATGCGAACGATGTTTCTAATTTTAGTGAAATTACACAGGTGGAAGAAGACTGTTCAATTCAATTCATCCATCCATTATCTTTACCCACTTTTTCCATTTAGGGTCATGTGGGTCACCGGTGCCCATATCCAGCTATCACTGTGCAAGGGGTGGGGTACACCCTGGACAGGTCGCAAGTCCATCACAAGGACACAGAGACAAATGAAACAAACAACCATTCACTCTCTCACTCACAGGGACAATTTTAGACTTGCCAATCAGCCTAACATACATGTTAGAGGTCTGTGGGAGGAAACTGGAGTACCAACTGGAGTACCAGAAGAAAACCCACACATGCACAGAGAGAACATGCAAACTCCACCCAGAAAGGCCCCCGGACTGGGATTTGAACCAGCAACCTTCTTGCTGAGAGGCAGCAGCTCTACCAGTTGCACCACCGTGTTGCCTATAATTTAATTCAGTTTATTTATATAGCTCCATTTCACAACAAAGTCGTCTCGGGGCACTTTACAGGAACATTCATATAGAAAAGCCAATTAGTAAAGTTCTCTATCTAAGAAGCAGCAGACAAGTTGAATCTTGGCTTCCTTGCAGTCTCCCATCCTGAGCAAGCACAGTGGCAACGGTGGAAAGAAAAAGTCACTTTTAACAAGAAGAAACCTCCAGCAGAACCAGGCTCAGGACAAGCGGCCATCTGCTTTGACCGGCTGGTTTGCGAGGACAGGAAGGAGAGACAGACGAACACAGAATGGTAGGTCCAGATGTTCGTCCAGGTCCAGATATAGGTCCAGTTCCAGATATAGGTCCAGGTGTACCTGAAAGACCAAAACACATGTCAAGGATAGAAAAATATACAAATATAAAACAGGTTGAGCAGAGTAAGTTAAGACAGTAGCAGATTGAAGAAATGTGGTTACTTAAGGGCTTAGTTTTAGTATTTTTTTTCTTTTGGACTGTCACCCAGCGGGCCTGAGGTTAAGAACAGCTAAGGGGAGGAAACTGACTTGAGACATGATTTTGAACAGGACAAGAATAATTTGAAACATTATTTGAAATGTGAACTGGTCGATGGTGAACCAGGGACTTAGTTTTAGCATTTAATTTACTACTGGCCACCACCCAGCCGGCCTGTGGTTTCTGATTACTAACGTGAGCTAGCATTAGTGGCTCTGCGGAGCCTATGGGCTCCTGGCTAGTTAATGGTTTTTCAAAAGCATAGAGACAAGCTTCCAGATCAGATAGCCTCTCCAGAATCAACATATCCAAACATTTGATAATGTACCATTATCTTCAAACAAAGCAGTGTTATAGCTAAACATCTGGCGCACGATGTACACAATAAAACCAGAAGCCATGTTAAGTTAAGGCTAGTAAGAGCCAGCAGATTTCAATACACTGATAAAAACCAGAAGTCCTGAAAGATAAATACCATAGTGGAATACGTTAAAGGTTAGGGTGAGCAAGTGATGTGGATCCGATGCAGGCAGTCTCTCAGCGGTGATATGGTCTCAGCTTTCGGGTGTGTTGAAAGTTAGCAGCTCACTAGCCTTAGCACAATCTAGTCCAGCACGATATATCACCACAAGATTGGCTTCCTCCGCTCTCAAAACAAATAGAATACAGATAACATACATTTATAAAACACGTTTCTTGAAAAAAAAAACATCCAGAGACGCATGAAAACCAGGTACAGAAAGTGAGTCGAGATGGTTCTGCTCGTCCTGAGTGTTTCATTGCATTGTTGACCTTGCGTTGATTTCCATATGACAAATAACCCAAACCTAAAAACAGCCCCGAGCTGCATTGTCTGCTCGCCTTTATAGATACGTTATCAATCCCAGAGGCAAATTCAAAGCATCCAGTAGTATTTTCTAATTATATAGAAAAAATATACATACTGTATATCCCTCTCAGCTCAAAGTTCAGAGTTCAGGAGGAGTCCTTGAAGCCAGCTGCAGTCTTTTGACACAGCACAAACATATGGTTCATGGGCAGAGACAACAGTGTTTATGTAACGAACCCCTTCAACTCTGGACCAAAATCACCACAAACAGAGAGACTTTACAAAATTTATTGTTGAAGCCCTCGCTTCTCAAAGTGAGTCTGGTTCTGGTGTCGATCACTGGGTCAAAGACTGGAATGAGTGTGTAGGCGGGAAGAGAACGGTTAGTGGCCAGGCAGGAGACCGAAGCGAGAACAAATGTCTGAGAGAGGTAACCACTAACCGTTTCTCTGGTTGAAGGGGGCTCAGAAGAGAGGAGTCGTTCCAGCTGGATGGATTCACTGCAGGAGGGGTGGTCTTGGTGAGAGGAGTCAGCCGGCTGCAGCGAAGAGACCGAGGATGGGTGGATGGTGACGAGGTGTTGATCCACACCGGCGTTGGACCAACAGCCGGTCCATGAGGCAGATGTCGAGGTCAGACAGGCGAGGGTTTTTACCAGAGTGCAGGAAGGCGACGGTACCAAACAGGAGCAGGCGAGAAGACAGTGTGAGGCAGGCATGAGTCGAAAACCGGCGAGTGGAGACGTAGATCCGATGAGGAGCAGGCTGGAGGAGAAGTCAGGCGAGCAGGGGTCCAAAACCATGAAGCAGCATGAGGAGGTGAGGATACAAAGACCAGGAAGAGGGACAGGAGCAGGGCAGGCAAACAAACAAGGTGGGAGAGGAACTATGAAGGAACAGGAGACTATGAGGGAATCAGGAGACAGAAGCGCGGGATAACTACTGGCAGGTAAACTGTTTTCGACTATCTGGCGCTCACCCTGTGTGCCGGTCAGGTTTATGAAGGGTGCAGCAACAGGTGCAGCTAATGAGGAGTAATCAGTGTGGAGTGTGGTGAAGAGAAGACAACCTTAAAGTCACATGCAGCCAGCAGAGAGGAGATAAGAGTGCTGCAGAGAAGGAAGTCTGAAACCCAAGAATAACAAATAACAAGAGAAAGATAGAAAAGAAAAAGAGTCCACAGACACCAAACAGTGAACAGAGTGAAAAGAATTTAAATCAGACGGGCGTGAATCATGACAGTTTAGGGACTGCACTTGCACTTATATAGCGCCTTTCTATCTTTTTGAAGATACTCAAAACTCTTTACAACAATCTGTGTCTCATGTACCCATTCAGCACTTTACTAGCTCTTTACAAAGCTAATTGAACAAATCATTCTAAAGAGACTAATCAGTGCTTTATCACATTCATACACTGATGGGACACACATCAGAGGTAATGAGGGGTTCAATGTCTTGCCAAGGGATACTTGGGCATGTGACTGCTGGTGGATTCGAACCCCCAACTGCTCTAACCACTCAGCCACAGCAAAAAAAAAAAGAAACAAAAGGGAGACAACCGATCATGTTCTTAGCCATAATAATTAAAACATCCATAACCTTTGACCAAATATTCTCTGACATCAGGTTCTTTTACACATAAAGACTATTTTTGAAGACTTGAACTCTGAGGAGACTTTAGGAACCTAACCAGCTTGTTTCATCCAACATTTCTCTTTGAGCTCTTTGAACCGATGACATAGTTTAAATGATTGGAATCAGTTTCATCTTCTCTACGTTTACTTCAGATTCTTTTTTATTTTTTTATTTTAAGTGATCGTTTTCAGTTTGATCTGTATCCTCAAGAAATATTTGTTTCTCAGCAGGTCTTCTGTGTAAATCTGACCCAGTTGTGGATCTTCCCACAGAGTCCAGTGGACCTCAGTCTCATGGATCAGCATCAAAAGGACACACAGAGACCCTTCTGTTTGTCTCAGCCAGAGCTCGATACCAGTGGGACGTTTGACATCCCAGCTCCTCCTCCTGTGACCTCAGACTTGTCACATTCAACCTTCTGGGTCCGGCCCAACACCCAGTCAGACCCTCAGAACCATCTGACCACCTGTAACAAGGAAACGCTGAGAGGTCCAGCTGCCTCTGTCCTCGAGCTGCAGCTGGATGGTTCTGCTGAGGACATGGAGAATGTTTCTGTTCATGAATCTGCTCTTTCAGGTGGAACTCAGATGGCCCCTCGTGGTTCTGGCCTCCCCTCAAAACCAGCACGGGTCAGGCTGGACACCTTGGATCATGGAGAATCAGCACCAGTCCACCAGAACCTGTCTGAATCCAGCAGTACTACCTCATCACATCAGGATTCAGATGGTCCTAAGCTCCTCCTGATAGACCACAATTCCAACAAGACTGGTTCTAAGCCAGCTTCTGCTCCTCTCAGATCAGCTGGTTGTCAGAACACCCCAGTCCCCCTAACTGAGAGACCGGGTCCTGAAACTGTAGGCCAGAGCTGGACTGTCAGCAGGGATCAGGGTCCTCATCCATCCCGTCAGTCTGGACTCAAGTGCTGATCTGAGCTTAAGCTCTCATCAAGAATTCTCAGTCCCCCTAACTGAGACCTGGACTCCTGAAACCATGACTTCAACTGTCAAGGATCAGTGTTCTCCATCCATCAGTTCTGGATTGCTGTATGGAGTGCTGTACAAGTCCCTTATCCCAAAATATTTTAGCTCTGAGGTACTGTTAGCCCTGCTGGAGCCCCCGCCCCACCTTATCGTGACAATTCCTGTCACTGAAATCCAAACTGTCCACCCCCATCAGGAAGATGACCCCCCCCACCACCACCACCTGCTGTCACATGACTCTGCTCACATCAAACTGACCATTTCTCCTCCAGACCGGACCTCCTGCTTCTCTGAGCTGCAGGTCCCAACCAGGTCTGCTCTGACCCGGTCCTGTTCAGAGGAGCCATCTCAGCCCAGTCCAGAGGAACTGAACCGGTCCTTTTTTGAAAGCTCAGAGTCGAGGCCTCGTTGCTCTTACTGATCCTGGCTCATCCCCCGGGACCGGAGCTCAGGTTACTCGATCCAAACGCAGAGCCGTTCTGGCCAGACAGGTGACCACAAGCAGCTCCTCGTCTCCTTCTGACAGAATGATCCCACCGAAGGATCCAGAGTTCGGAACCAACACGGAGAGTTCCCCCGAGCCCCCAACACAGCCGGACGACAGACCTCTGAGTCTGACATACGCAAGTGTGGGATCAGATGAAGGCAGCATGATGGAGGTTTACTTCAGCGCACTGGAGGACAGCAAGGAGGAAGAGGAGGGGAGGTTCACAGGAGGAGAAACATTTGTGTCAGGAGGAGGGAAAGATTTGCGAGGGGGACACACTCAGGAAGGACGCAGGCAAGTGAGAGGTTTTCCACTGAAAACAAACATGGAGAAGACAGAAGGAGGAGGTCAAAGTTCAGAAGATCAGCTGCTGCTCAAAGAGAACTCTCACTTGGTTTGGGGCAGAAATCTAACAAGTCCAGAGAAACGACAAACGACCGCAGCACCGGAGGAGGAGGAGGAGGAGGAGGAGGAGCTACTGGCCCCACAGGTTCTGCAGGCAAACATGCTGATGGAATGTGACTCTGCCCTGCCCTCCTCTGATACAGAGGGGGAGGGAAACCAAGAGCTGAGGCCCCCAAGGCTGCAGGACCAGTTTCTGGTTCCCATCGAAGGTCCTGCAGTCAGAGCGAGCACATGGAAGGAGGAGGTGCAGCGTTTAGTCTGTGCAGACACATTTGGTGCAGGTGGAGTGACACCTGACGCTGCTCTTTGCAGTCGTGAGGGGGTGGGACCAATGACTCAGAAAGCCAAGGGGAACACAGAGACACAGCAACAGGTGCGAGTCGAGTCGTCAGCACAGAACACTGACGGAGAAGCTACAGGGCTGCGTCCAGCTGAGGACCACAGGTGAGTCAGAACCAGATCCATTCAGCTCATATCCAACATATTCTTCAAACTGTTTCAAACTGTTGTTGGGGAGCTTCAAAGAGATTAAATCTACTTTTTGAGGGCTCAGTCACTGAAGCTACTGCTGACTGCTAGTGTTGACATCAAGTGTATGGCGAGGCTACACACAGCTGATGGACAGCTGTCAATCAGATCATCTGTCATCAACGAGGTGTTGTACCTGTAGCACTGGTGAGACAATCTACATTTTGCAATCTTTTAACAAATAGGATGGCTAAAAGGAAAAGGTAACAAAACAAAAAACAGCTAGATTCCAAGACAAATGTAGAAAACTAAAAACAGGAACATGTCAGCATTGGACCCTGCCAGGTGTCCAAGTGGATTATATCTCAGTGGGTTATAATAATAATAATTTATTCAATTTGTACTGCACTTTACATTTTACAATCTCAAAGTGCTACAATATAAAACATCTAAAGAGAATAAAATGTGGACTAAAAAAGGAGTAAAAAATGTTAAAAGCTAAAAAAAACTAAATAAAATAAATAAAAACTGCAGGATTAAAATACTTTTAAACACTATAAAATCTTTTAAATACAAAGGTCTTCAGTCCTTTCTTAAAACTTTATGTAGTCTGGAGTATCCTTAGATGGTTGGGGAGGTTGTTCCACAGTTGAGGAGCAGCAGAGCAAAAGGCCCATTCACCCATGGTGCACAGTTTTGTCCAGGGAGGGTGGAGCTTGTAGGAATTTGTGGAGCAGAGGATCGTTTTGATGTCTGAGCAGTGAGCAGTTCTTTAAGATAGTGTGGAGCATTGCCATGGATGGATTGGTTGGTGAGTAAGGAAACCTTGTATTCAATACGGAGCAAAATGGGAAGCCAGCACAGAGATTTAAGGATTGGGGTGATGTGATCATGTTTCCTTTGCTTCATCAGAATCCTGGCTGCACTGTTCTGTACATATTGAAGGTTTTGAATGTGCTTGGATGGAATTCCATAAAAAAAGTGCATCGCAGTAATCCAGTCTTGAGGAAATGAAAGCATGGACAAGTTTTTCAGCATCAGAAAAGGAGAGTAATGGACAGGGTTTGGAGATGTTTTTCAGATGAAAAAATGAAGTCTTGCAAATATTTTTAATATGGGATTCAAATGTAAGATGAGAATCAAATCTTACCTGAACCTGAAGCTGTAACGCTGACTCAGCGTCTGATTTCAGAACCACATGGACCCGTTCGTCTGTCCATCCATCATCTTCCTCTTGTTCTGAAGTCAGGTTTTGGGGACAGCAGCTTGAGCAGGGAGGTCCAGACATCTCTTTCCACAGCCACCTTTTCCAGCTCTTCTGGGAGGACCCCAAGGCGTTCCCAGGCCAACCGAGAGATGTAGTCTCCCAGCGTGTCCTTGGTCTTCCCTGGGGTCTCGTCCCAGTTGGACATGTCAGAAACACCTACCTAGGGAGGTACCCAGGGAGCATCCTTACCAGATGCCCAAACCACCTCAAATGGCTCCTCTCGATGTATTGTAATGTTGACAAACAAAAACAGATATGGATTATTACAGATCATTAACATCCAGATTAGTTCAAACATTTTTCAGTCGGGTCATCTGGACAGTTTCTTTTTTCTTTTTTTTTGTGCTGAAACATTTTGCCTTCGGTCTGGAAGGCTTCATCAGTCAAGGAAACACACAACAAAACTGATTCTTCCCCCAACAGCTTACTCCAAAGTGGAACAAACCAGTTCTGCTTGTGATAAGATGGTCTCTTTGGTATGCCCTCTCCTCCATTGCTGGCTCTCTTCCTTGTTGACAGTCTTGTCAAACTGGTTAAAAACAATAAAGTCCATGCTCTATAATCCAGGTATAATCCAGGAAGAAGCAGTTTTGCTGTGCGTTTCCTTGACTGTTGAAGCCTTCCGGACCGAAGGCGAAACGTTTCGGCACACAAAAAAAAAGAAACTGTCCAGATGACCTGACTGTAAAATGTTGGATTGCATACCTGGATTATTGAGCATGGACTTTGTTGTATCCAGATTCGTTCTTGCACTTCAGTGACAACGTGATTGGATCTTAATAATAGCCTTTCGGGGGATTATATTCATTCAACCTTTATTTAGACAGGTTAATCCCATTGAGCCTTGAGGACTAATTTCCAAGAGAGACCTGATTTCAACAAAGAATGATGACAACAATGGACAACAGCGACAATAGACAGTTATAAAAAGGCATACAGATTTTTTTTTTTTTTACAAATAAGATGGCAAAAAAGTAAGGAAAGTCACGGTTACAAGACATTTCCTAGCATTCAGAGTTAGACAGGATCTGTTTCTGAAAAATAAACCCAGTTTAATTTAATTTCTTTACTAGGCTTTCCACATGGAGCTTAAAAGAGATATGTGCGTCTACCAAGATACCCAAATATTTATAGAAATCAACAAACTCAATGGGGACACCATTTGAGGATAAAATTGGAGGAAGAACTGCTGGGACTGACTTCCTGTTTGAAAAAAGCATTCCTTTGGTTTTATCAGCATTTAAGGCGAGTTTGAGGTGAAACAAATCTGACTGGATAATGTCAAATGAGGACTGCAAAAGCCGGAAAGGCTTAACAACTGTGTTAGCTCAACAATAAACAACTGTGTCATCAGCATAGAAATGTAAGGATGCATCAGGGATATTTTGACCTACATTACCTATGTAGATTGTAAAGAGCACTAAGACTGAGCCTTGTGGTACACCACTGTTGACTGTTAAATAACTGGAGGAAGTGCCATTATGTTGAACACATTGCCTCCGGTCTGAAAGATAGTTAGAGAACCAACCAACGGTGTGTTCTGAGAAACCAGTTTCTGGGAGTTTATGACACAAGATGTTCTGATCCACAGTGTCAGAATCTTTAGACAGGTCTAAGAAAAGTGCAGCACAATAATCCTTAGCATCCAGTGCTTCAACAACATCATCAAGAACCTTCAGTGAAGCAGTCGTTGTGCTGTGTTGTTTCTTGAAACCAGATTGATGTGGAGGTAAGATGTTAAATGAGTCCAGGTAATTTTTGATTTGAGAGTTTATCAGTTTTTCTAGAACCTTGTCTAAAATGCAGAGTTTAGAGATTGGTCCATAGTTGTTCAATGAGGTGGGGTCACCTTCCTTCAGCAAAGGAAGAACAGAGGCTGTTTTGGGTGGCTGTGGCTGAGGGGTTAGAGCAGTTGTAGTGGACTAGGCCTCTGACCAAAACCTGCCTCTGAAGACCTTCGTGGGACAGGAACTGTTATTTCATTGATTTGAATCCAGAAATACAAATTAGCTCATCCACAGACTTTCTAATTGTGTCCTGAACTAATCAATTGAAAGAACACTCTCTTTTTTATATTATCATTACTATTTTACAATATCTTGATAATCAAAAGTGTGTTTAGTTCATACCATTTTTAAATGTTGAAGTGAACCACTCATTTTAAATCAACTGTGAAACAGTATTGATGATTTTTTTAATCCTCATTCAAATTAGAGATCAAGTTAGATGTCTATTTTACCAAGTAATTATGCATTTTTTGATCTTCTGTCTGAAATGAGAGAGTGATGTCGGTCAAAAGTCGGAGACAGTTAAAAACAAGTTGTTGGAACGAGCTGTCGTGTTTTTAAAGCTCTCAGACAGTAAACAAGAGAACTGGCACCTGCAGTGTTGGTCACTTCGCCAAAACATTTCTCTGTCTGTTCCTAAACATTTCTGCTGTTTTCTTGACTTGAAAAAACCCTTTAACGTCACTAGAACCACACCCCTGTTGGTTGCTTCAACCAATCAGGACTTACTAAAAGTGACCGGAAGCAGAACTCTTTAAAAGTCGACACTTCCTGGAACTGAGAGTCTCTTCTGAGTCTCTTCTGAACTCTTCTCAGTCTTTTCTGAGTCTGTGGAGTAATGTCTGCTCAGTCTTCTGAGTATTCTGGAGTCTTCTGGGGTTATGTGGAGTAGTTCTGGAGTTTTTCCACTGCTGAGTGGAACTTCGGACTCAGTTTCCAGTCTGATGGAGCCAACCATCTCTGCAAGAGCCACGACGCCTCGCTGTGGCTCCACCCAGCGAATGCCCTACAACTTCCGAGGTAGTTGTTCTGTAGAACGGAGTATCTCACAACTTCTGCCGAGTCGCAGCCGCCCTGAGGAGACGCTGAAAGGTAGCGTGCCAGGGACCTCTTGACCGCAGCGGACCCATCCTCTGCCAAGGTAAAGAGTCGTCACGAGCTTTACTACAAGTGTACCGCGGGCGAACTGCGCTTGAAAGGAGCGTGTTGTTCTGGTCTACAGACATAAATCTTCCTCCATATATTTCCTTTAAACTCCTCCATAATTTCCCATCTTTAAACTTCTATCTTGCCATCCAAAAAAGTTCAATCTGGTCCTCTGGACATTAAAAAAAAACAAAAAACAAAACAAAGCAAAAGAATCTAGAAACGTTTCGTCTCTCATCCTGAGGACTTCCTCAGTCTGAGGTGCTGTATTCAGCTCAGTCTCTTAAATAGCACCTTCTCAGAGTGGATCAACCAGTTTGCTGCTGACAACCAAAACCAACTGATCACATGCTCAAGAAGGACCATCAGCCTAACAATGGATCATTAGCACACTGATGGCTGTTTACTATTCACAGAGGGCTGAGTGATACTAGCAATCACAGCATTGTAAGAGGGGGACAGTTGAACCTGGAGGCTCCACCCCTGTTTAATGATGGACGGTTTCTTTTCACAAAGATGGCCTCCTTTACTCCTCTCTCAAACCATAGAAACAGGGGTGGAGGCCTCCGGGTTCAACTGTCCCCCTCTTACAATGCTGTGATTGCTAGTATCACTCAGCCCTCTGTGAACAGTAAACAGCCATCAGGTGCTAATGATCCATTGTTAGGCTGATGGTCCTTCTTGAGCATGTGAGCAGCTGGTTCTGGTTGTCAGCAGCAAACTGGTTGATCCACTCTGAGAAGGTGCTATTTAAGAGACTGAGCTGAATACAGCAA